CTATGCCACTGTATTTATTAGAACTTGAGCATCCATGGATTTTGGTATTCACCATGGGTCCTGGAACCAAAGCCAGCAGATACCAAGTGCCCACTGTATTTATATTTTATGGAATTATTTATATTTTGGTGTTTTGTTATGCTAATTAAAGCAATGCACAGATAATATATTTTGACAAAGGGAGAGCTAAGGTGTTGAAAGCTATACTTAGTATAAAGTAGGCTTCCTAATATGTACTAGCAATCAAGGTCACCTATGAAACTGAATTGCCATAGATTTAGTACAAACAAGTGAATTCTGTGCAATCCTAATTTAAGTAACTTGCTACCACAAATATGTCAGTGGTCAATAACTTAGATGGATTTGATAGAGAATTAGAAAAGCTCATTGGGGATAACTGTTAATGGCCCTAGTCATGACAGCTAAATGGAACTCTCACATTCAGAAGCAAGATACACCAGAGCACCAGTTGCCAGAAGGCATGAACACAAGACTGTTACTGCCTCCATTCTATCCTTATGGGATTCCTCGAGGTGTCAGGTTGACCAGTGGATACTAGGTGGTCAGAGATGTTATTTTTGGATTACAACTCCAAAAATAACTCCAAACAACTTCAATTCCACACCCAATATAATGGTGGACTACACAGACCCTAATCTGATCTATTAGGCTATTCTTACATTTCTGAATGAGTAGTATTCGTTAACAACTTAACCAATGGGCGAAATAGACTGCCCCTTTGCGCTGCCTTCCAGGTGGCTTGAGAGCAGAGCGTTTACACATTGCAAGCTCCCAAGCTGCCCAGAAGCTGCCTGACCATTTACATGGGGGCCAGCTTCCATGCTCTCCAGCATTTATATGCCACTGGAGTGCTGTAAAGCGGGCTTCCAGCCATGGTGGGTTGGAAAAGCTGGCAAAAAGACAGATTGGGGCCACAGCGTGTGATAGCCACAGCCCCAATCTGGCTTCAGAAGGGGCAGTCTGTTTCACCCCCAAGATCTCACTGAAGAAACTATTCCCCAATGTCCTCTTCAAATTTCATATCTAAAGTTGAATTGTTGCTAATTTTGTTCATTCTCAATTTGTTGTTGGTGTTTGAGTTTTTGCTTTTTTTTAAAGGAAGAAAAAGACTTCTATCAGGAACTTCTAACTTTTCTTATGGAGATAAAAGCATATGTACAATACATGCTCTTATCTGGAATTCCAAAATCTGAAATATTCCAAAATTGTCACATGGGTGGCTGAGACAATGACACCTTTGCTTTCTGATAGTTCAGTGCACACAAACTTTGTTTCATGCACAAAATTATTAAAATTATTGTGCATAAAATTACCTTCAGGCTATGTGTAAAGTGTATATGAGACATAAATTAATTTTATGTTTAATCTTGGGTCCCATCTCCAAGATCTCTCATTTTATATATATGCAAATATTATTATTTTTAAAAAAGCCCTCCAAAATAAGAAACACTTTCTGGTCTCAAGATAAAGGCAACTCAACCTGAACATTATCTCTTCACAGTATTCTTAAGACCATGATAAGAATTCTTATCAGAGCACCATGTGTTCTGGTCCTGGTTCCAAGATCCCTTTTACTTCCACTTCAGTAAGCAGCAACAATCAAAAACATTTTAATGATATAGGATCAAGGGACTGGTTCATCATTGCCTCTTCCAAGGTACAATGCATATCTCCTCTCAAGCTGTAAGGAGGCACTAAACACATCCTGGAGCCTACTAATGAGCCCATGCCTGTTAAGATTTCATAAGATAGGGGTCAGAGTCAAGAGGGGGCACACCATCACCTAACCTTAAGAAGTGTCTTTTTTATATTCTCAGGCTACAACCAATGATGTTGATCCAGTAAATCATAACCTCATAGTGTTCTAAATGCATCCACAGGACTTGCAACTACTGGGAGTCCAATTTAGTACAAATTTGAATGATTCTAGCCAATACAGTTGGCCCTCTGTATCCACAGATTTTTTTTAAGCACAGATACAACTATCTATGGCCTGAAAATGTTAAAAGATATATATTTATTCCAAAAGCAAACTTTGTTTTCGCCATTTTATGTAAAGGACACAATTTTACTATGACACTGTTTTTAATAGGACCTGAACATTCATAGATTTTAGTATCCACTTGGGGTTCTGGAATCAACCACCAGTGGATGCCATGGATCCACAATATATGCTTCATGAAACCATTAACAAGCTCCAAAGATAGGCAGCCCCTTTTCTGGACCAAATCTCACCTGTCTAACTGCCACTTCAAAACTGCTCAGAAAGGTTGCTTATTATGGGTGGAGGCAGAGAAATAAACTTTTATTTGGTGCTACAAAGTGGGCATGACAGAGTCAGAGTTCATTAGTTTGAAATGATTTAAATCACTCCATTGAAATACTGTTTTAATTATTTAAATCGCCAGTGAGGAAGATTCTTTTATATATACCTTTATATAGGTATATATATATATATATATATATATATATATATATATACACCTTTTTGTTAAATGTGAAACTTACCTTTTAGTGAAACATGAGTCTCTGGATGTGTGTGTGTGTGCGCGTGCGTGTGCGTGTATATACACACACAAACATCCAGAGACTCATGTTTCACTAAAAGGTAAGTTCACAAGTAACAATTACTCTGAACTGTTTTCAGATTGATTTTCAATTTAGCAAAACAAGAGTTCCCTACATAGGGCCCCTTGCATCCAGACTCCTCTTCCTCCTTCATTTCCCCAAATTCTCTATCTTTGCATTTAAGAGGAACAAGGCTGTAAATACATTTCAGATAAAGCACCTGCAGAATAGGACTGCTCAGGTTTATTTCCATAAACTGTCATTAAAGAATATAATTAGGAGCCATACAAGTAGTATCCCATTGAAGATCTCTTTTGGCATTTAAGAATATAATTAGGAGCCATACAAGTTGTATCCATTGAAGATCTCTTTTGGCATTTAAAACAACTAACTAATAAGAAAATTTTGAAATTTGATTTAATTTGATTTAATTAAAAATTCACTTTGTAATTTTTTTTTAAAAAAATCCCCATTGATTTTTATCAACCCTGTGTTCTAGCCATCAGCCCATCTATCTTATTACTGAAAAACTCTAGGAAAGCTATGATGGCTATAATGGCTGGAGCAATCATGTTGATAGCACCGATCATTTCCACATTTTCCAGTGACAGAAAGACATCCCCAAAGATTTCAGAAATCCAGTGCTCTGAGTAAAAAGCATATACGTGCAACATTTGTTAAGCAGAACTCAAATGCCAGATTCTAGGAGATGCGGCTGTTTCTGTTCAGCACAATATGGCCCAAGAGCTGTTCCAGATGTCAATCTACAGAAAAAAGGTCAGAGTTTATATAACTAGAATCCAGAGAACATTACTGAACAAGGGAAGGGATGCTTCTGTATGGAAGGCATCTAAAGCTGTCAGTCAAAAGGCACTGTGCAGCTATTCTGTCTTCACTCCTTGATTAGTTTTCTGCAGTGATGGAAATAGTGGTGCAAGATGGCCAATGGAACCTATCTTGATTGGGACATCCAGATAATGATGTTTGATGTCCATGCTTGAAACAGGACAATTGAACCCATGGACTTACTGTGATTTAACCTTGAAAAGATACCATGGATATACCTTATTATAATAAGTAGCCAAGACACATTTTCCTGACTATTTTTACAACCACCATTGGTAGATCTTTCACTGAAATTCCATCATGCCATTAGCAGTCTCTAGAGCCAGTGTAGTATAGAGGTCAGTGCTGACTGGAATCTGGGAAATCCACTTTCAAAATCTCATTCATCCATAAAGCTCACTATTAACTGTTGGCCAGTCACTCTGTCTTAACCAAATCCACTCCAAAGAGCTAATGTGAGGTAAAGTGGGTGACAAAGAGTTTATTGAATGAAAATGTAGTATATAAATGTTACAAATAATTTATCTATACATACTTATCAGACCAGTTCCTTTTCTATAATTTAAACAAGCTGCTTCAAAAACCTCTGTGATAAATGTACTCAATAGAGATACAAAGAAAGCTGTAGCTTTTCCTGCTTTACGTATAGTGACAGATGCAATTTCTTGCACATCAGCAGAGGTGGTGATTTTTATACCTGCATGGCTCTGAAATTCTTGGTACAGGCTGTCCACAGCAGCATGAACACGTAAAAATAAGTCTTTTGGAGCAGTTTCACATATATGTATGTGTATGTGCCTTCAAGGTACATGGCGACTTATGATGCCCCCATGAATTTCATAGGGTTTTCTAGGCAAGGAATACATACCTACAGCATTGTTTTGGTTTGTTAAGTTACCTGTTAAAGAAAATCAGGATGGACTATAGAGGTAGAAAGAGCCAAGTCTCCAATGAAACATGCAAAGGAGGCAGGGGAAAATGTATTTACTACTCAATTTCCACTGAAATATGTCCAAAAACCACAAGAATTATTCTCCCCATTTCCAGGGAAGGTGCTAGCACCTGCTCACTGCTACCTGGGATGCTTTTTCTATATCACACATAGAGGTGATTGTCAAGTTGTAAGGTGATTGTCAAGATGTGCAGGAAGAGATAAAGGAGGAATAGTGTCATTTTGACCAGGGATCCAGTAGGTCCATCACGTCTTGAGCTCCACAGCCACATGAATGGGGTCTACTGTGCCAATATCAGTGGTTGAGAAATTTTTGGCCCTTCCAAAAGTTGCACATTGCAACTTAAACAGCTATGCTTGTTAAGATTGTTGGGATTTGCAGTCAAAAGAACATCTGGAGGGTGACAAGCGCACACTCCAGACTGAATGGAGCTGCTCCTGGTGTTTTACATTTCATTATTCACTTTTATTTTTATTAAAAAAAAATAAGCAGGACACAAACTGAAAATTACATTGTTTTTAAAAAAATGTAACACTGGTTTGGAAATGAGAGTGAAAAATACATGAAGACTATATAGGAGGATTATGGTCTCTGTAGTTGGATGAGCTGAGAGCTAGCATGGTGCAGTGGTTTGAATGTTGGACTATGAATCTGGAGGTCAAGGGTTCGATTCCCTGCTCAGTCACAGAAGCCCACTGGGTAACTGTGAGTGAGCTACATCTTCTCAGCCCCCGAAAACCCTGTGATAGGTTTGCCTTAGGGTGTCATAAGTCAGAAACAACTTGAAGTCACACAACAACAAAACTGGATGAGCTACCTTGAAAGGCAGAGAGAAACGGAGGCAAGTAAACCCGCTTTGGGCCTGTAAACTCCTGATCTGGTAGTCTGACTCATTGAAGGATCTCTTTTGTGGGTTAAGAGCATCACCTGCAATTCAAAACAAGCCAAAAGATGCTAACAGGTTTTCAATGGTAAACATATAGAAACAGTTAAGCCTTTCTTGGGGTCCGATAGATGTCACACAAGCCCATCTTTGCGCCAGCAAGGGGTGTGGATGGGTACAGAAGCAAATAACTCATCACCTCAGTTTTTGGCATGAACAAGAACACGAGAAGCCATACTATCTGCTAATTAGGAGGGAAGATGAGAGCAGAGATTAAGAGATATCATTTTTCACATGGTGACCTTTGCTAGTGCAAACACATTCAGGGATAGCCCTGTTGGCCATATAGCAAAAAGTATTATATTTTAAGCAGCATGGTGTAGTGGTTTGAGTATTAGACATTTGGCCTTTGCAGACTGCTAGAAATAGTGCAAATTGAGTCCACTTTAACTGCCCTGGCTCAGTGCTAGGGAATCATGGGAATTGTATTTCTTTCTGAGACATTGAGCCTTCTCTGTCAGAGAGCTCTGATGTCACAATAAACTACAGTTCCCATGATTCCCCAGCACTGAGTCAGGGCAGTTAAAGTGGACTCAATTTGCACTATTTCTGGCAGTCTGCAAAGGCCCATTGACTCTAGAAACCAGGGTTCAAATCCCAGCTCAGCCATGGAAACCCACTGAGTGACCTTGGTCCAATCACACTCTCTCAGCCTCAGAGGACAACAAATGGCAAACCCCCTCTGAAAAAGCTTGCCAAGAGAACCTCACGACCTCAGGGTTGCCATAAGCCAGAAACATCTTGAAGGTACACAACAACAACAACAACAGGCAGGTAACAGAAACTGTCCTGTTTCATTTGGCTTTTAGTCCTTATAATCAGTTTTAGGATTGGGGTTTGGGAATACTTTTCACTGAAGGCAACAACAACAACAACAAATCATTTTTAAAACATCTTTGTCTGATGAAGAAGCCAGTGTAGCTTCCAAGGCTTGCACAGGGTGTCCAGATGTCCTAACCACAAAGGGAAACAAGGAACTGCAAAAATGTAGGACATTCATAAAAAATGTACGACCAAATAAAAGCTAAAAACATTCATAGAAATATAAATTCATGTTTCTTAGTAAGGCTCAAAATGGAGGGACTTTCGGAATTCTTCCTATACGGAAGGATGAAATGGAGGACATGTCCTGGAAAAGGAGGATGATGTTTGGTCATCCTGCAAGAAAAATCCATAAAGGTACACAACAACCACCAATTATTATTTATAGCTAACTTAGGGGGGTTGCAGACTACCAGAAATAGTGCAAATTGAGTCCACTTTTAGGGTTAGGGTTAGTGCTAGGGAATCATGGGAACTGTTTTTTTCTGAGACATTGAGCCTTCTCTGTCAGAGCGCTCTGGTGCCACAATAAAATACAGTTCCCATGATTCCCTAACCTAAGCCTAACCCTAACCCTTAAAGTGGACTCAATTTGCACTATTTCTGGCAGTCTGCAACCCCCATTAAGATAGTTTTTTATCCAGGTCACTAGTTTCTTGTTCTTCCAAATAAAGCTTCTGAAATATTTGTAATACAAAAAACAAACAAACAGCTTTATTGTATAAATATTTGCCTTGGTTGCTTGACTCATCTCATGGCTAGGTACTGAAAGAGCCAAGGACTGATGCACACAATTGTGAAGGGGGGGAAATGCAGGTTTTATTCTTTCTTCAGTATCTCCCTTCCCCCTTTAGTGCACAGAAATGAATATGATGGATGAATTTAAGAGAGAGTTCATGGAAGTTTAATTGGTTGAAGGTATTAAAGCGTATGATCTCTTGGTTACTACTGAAAACTGAGTAATTATAAAATAAACGATTAATTCGTGATTGGGTGACAGAAGCCTTTAAAATCCACTTTTAGTAGAGTAATAAAAATTAATATAATATGAATAACAACAACACCTTTGCCTGGTGAAAAAGCTGGTTGACTTAAGGTGACCCTATCACTGGCCTTTCTTGCAGCAGGGTAAGCAGACATCCTCCTTTTCCAGGACATGTCTTCCCAAGCCTTGCATGCATGTATTTAGTGCCTTTCTGTTGGCCCCCCATAAAGGTATCCCCGTTATGGGAATTCTGGATGTTATTACACCTTGCTAGTGAAGTTGTTCAACTTATAAGCAGAACATATTGTAAGGAAAGCAGGCTAGGACATGGAAGAGGGAGGAGTGAAAATAGGAGGAAGAAATATCAACAATCTGAGATATGCTGACAACACCATAATACTAGCAGAAAACCTCACAGACCTGGAATAACTACTAAAGAAGATAAAAGAAGAAAGTGCAAAGGCAGGCTTATTGTTGAACATAAAGAAAACA